CCTTTCTTGTTCCAGTTGCCACTGGTGCTGGTTTTCTTCCCACTGCTGTAGTATCACTTCTCGTTTATTTCCTTTCTCCTCCAATCACTGCTGTAGCCTCTCTTCTTGTTTCTTTTGCTGTTCTTGTATTGCTGCCATCAAATCTGCTAAGTTGTATCTCAGCAGGCCTGATGAGCTCAGGTATTGGGCAAAAGGCCTTCCTAACACTGGATATGACAGAAGTTGTGTGTTTAACAAGTTATAACATTTTTATTTGTTTTCACTCATAAGTTCTTAGAACTAGAAGTAAAGTCAAAGCCTGCACTTTATATACAAATAAATACTGGTATGTTTACATGCAAACAGAAACAATGTCAGAGAAAAAGGAAGAGAAAACACCAACCTAACAACATATGTCTCTGAAGAATGCAAGGTAAGTTACACTGTTTTTAGTGTGAACTACTGTTGTGATATATAAAAAGCAGGCATTTCTTGCTAACAACTGCAGTTTGGTATTGCAAATTTATCTTCATTGTTCTTTACTAGCAGCTTCTTCAAACATTATGAAGATACAAGTTGTCAATGAAGGTTTCTTCATATTACCTACAAAACAGAAAATAGAATGAAACAAAAACCCATATCATAAAATTAAGATAAACATTTAAATTATGCTTGATGTAGAAAATGTTGACACATTTCTTTCTAAATAAATTTAAATTTAATGTTTCTTAGAATTTGACAAGTACAAAAAAAAAGACTTTTTGTACACCAGTATTTTTTATATCATAAAGTATAAATGTGAAACAAAATGTTGACATGTTCCTTTCTAAATGGATTAAATCAATTAAAATTAAAATTTAATGTTTCTTAGAATTTGAAAAGTACAAAAAAGACTTTTTTGCACACTAGTATTTTTTTTATATCATAACGTATAAACCACAAACAATCCTCATAATTTAAAGAAATTTCAAGAACAAAAACTACCAAAATTCAGATGTAACAGCAAACCAAGAAATAATAACAGTAATCTTTTCTTGGTGAGGTATTGGGTCATTCAGCTTAAAACTCAAAAGTGGAAAAACTAAAGGAATCTGTATGTTAGTCATAACAAAATTTTCAAAAACAGTTAAAGCCGATAATGTCACTTAAAAAAATGCAACTTAAATCTTTAATAATAATGACAAGAAGGAATGTAGATTAGTTAGATTTTATTTCTGACCAATAAAGGTGGAAGAAACAAAATTGAATTATAACCACAATTTCAAAAATATTAGACACTGATATAACCTAAGATAAGAATAAATAAAAAAAGTTATCTTGGTATTTTGAATGTTTTTAGGGAATATTTGTGGAATTTAAAGTTCTCAAACCTATATTTAATTCTGAAAACTATGACATCTATATGCAGGCCAGCACAAACAAAATACTACTAAATATCAATGAAACACAACTAAAGTATTGTTTGCTTACAGGATAATTCCTGTAAGATCCGGATTAAATATATTGCCTATAACTCGATTTCTATGATTCTAATTTAATTTGTTAAGACATTTAATAGAACATAAATACAATAAATACTGTCATAATATTGGATTTATTTTGACATAAATAAGCCTTCAAAATTGGTATCAAATTCAACAGGGTTATATGTTCCATCAAGGCACTCATTTTGAATCATCAGAGGTGTAATGTTTACTGCATCATGAAGACTTGCAGGGATGGATACTGATCTCTTCAGGTTATCTTACTCTGGGCAAGATTGGCTGAGAAACCATGATAGATGCTATGTAAGCACAATAGCTCCCAACTCTTGCACCAGTCCTGCACTTACAGTAATATGCTTAAACAGATAGAGTGGAATTGGTATAGGGAAAACTCTTTGCTGGATTAAAGAACAACAAGGGACCTTTTTTATCCACCTAGCCATCCTATCCACTAAATCAAACACCAAAAACTCAAAGACATCCCCTATCTTTCAAATATTTATCAAGCTTTCCCTTAAATGAACTGTATCTACCACATCTGAAAGCAACCTGTTCCAAAGATCAACCACCCTGTTAGAAAAATAAAGCTGTTTTAGCTGAAGATGGCTCCTACCCTGCCAAAAATTTATATAATTACTGGAACAATGTGTATTACCTCTCTTGAAAAGAGTAGCAGCATTAGTCATTCTCCAATCTTCTGGCATTTGCCCACTATTCAAGAACTAAGAAAAAACAATAACAAGTGGCTCACACATCCAATCCTTAACCTCCTTCAAAACAATTGGGTAAATATTATCTGGGCCAAAAGCATCATCATTCTTGAAACTTCCAAGTTCTTTCTTAACAAACTTAGAATTAATGTGATCATTTTGTTCAGTTATGTTTCTATCTAGCAACTGTTTTGGATGAAGAATATTACTTAAAGTTTCATCAGTTAAAATTAAAGAGTAGAATTTTGTAACCCAGGAATATATTATGTTCAGCCTCACAAATGCACAGATGAGGAGCCTTTTAATCTTACAGCATTACAGAGATCTCAATTTGATGACTTAGAATCCAGACTTCCATGTTTGAGAAATACTTGTAAGATCTATGTTGACATTCTTAGCTGTACTATTGGATGAACTTTGTTCTGGCTTATTAAATAGGATTCTGTTTTGAGCTTAAACAATTATTTTAGCCTACAAAAAACACTTCACTTGTTTTGTACAGCTTTGTTCGGTGACTTTGCTGTACTTTATTTGAAATCTGGTCCTCAAAATATAACTGACATCTACACTTGCTCCTTGGCAAGCAAATTTATAGCTGACTGTAAAGGAGATCTGGCAATCCTAGTGCTAACTCTGAACTCCAAGGAGAAGGTAGAGCTTGCATAAGCAAAGGACCCTTGTAAAGCCATTATGAAACCATACTTTGCTGATGAGAGAAATAACGATATTGCAATATAAATTTGAAAAGGATGTCGAAGACATCCAAAGTTGGATTTAACGATGTGATGCTGCTTTTGTAGAGTGTGGTTTCAGAGATGCACTTGAGCATGACCTCAAAGTTAAAACATAGGTTTCATGATTCCCCCTCAAGAATGCAAGCAACATACAACTGAAGAATCCAAAATTGGTTACCAAGTTGTGCTGGGTAATTGAGGCAGTAAGTGGGTGCATCAAGCAATGGGCATTACTGGATATCATCTTCACTTACTAACGATTTCCTTTCACAAGAGATTATAACCAAATTGTTAACACCCTTTCTAACTGTTACAGTTCTAATCTTGTGTAAAATACACACAGTGATTCTACTGTAATAATATCCATGGTTCAACTGTTTAAACTAAACCAACAAGCTGCATAAAATTATGGTATCCCAAGGACTAGCTTACAAAACATCACTGTGGAAAAAATGCATGATGCAGCCTTAGACTTTCAAAAAACTTTAAAGATGACCTTCATTCCCATATTTTGAATTTTTATCAACTTAAATCAACAGAATATTATGGTGAAGAATATGACTTTAGAACATTGGTCAAAACAGAGTACTTTGATATAATGAGAATAATTGAAACCTGGCTAAATGTAGACAATTCTGATAATAGGAATTTATTTCAAATATAGGGTTATAGGTTGTTTAATAGGGAAAGAGTACTAAAAAGGGGGGCAGGGAATGGCTTTATATATAAAATGGTAATTACAGCCTTTTTAAGTTGAGGATATCAAAGCTAATAGCAATGAGATTGAACCTATTTAGGAAAGGAAAAAGCTTTTAGTTGGAATTTGTTAAAAACCACCAAATGAAACTCATGAATTTAATGAGAAACTCTGCAGTGAGATAAAAAAAGTCAACCGATAATGAGGTTATAAATATGGAAGATTCTAATTTCAGGCATATAATCAAATCATGAGGAAGACAGGTTTTTAGAAATTGCTCAGGATGGTTTTCTTCACCAATTAGTTAGAAAACATACTAGGAACAATGATATTTGAGATTTATTTCTAACTACAGAAATGGCCGACAGGGTGGGAATTGGGAAACAATTTGGTGCAAGTGATCATTACTCTATTAGATTTGGTGTTTTGTTGCACACGGAAAAAAAGAACAATGAAATTTTGGTTCGTTTTCAAAAAAGCAAATCTTGAAGAGATGGTACAAGAATTATCTGCTATAAATTGGCCAATGAATTACTTGGAGACACTGATGAAATGTGGGAAATGTTTTTAGATAAATTCTTAATATAGATATATATATATATATATATATATACATATATACATAAGCATAAATTAATTGCAATGATGGGAGACTTGGAGGATTATGGAAAATCAAGAGAGTTGGTCAAATGGGAAATTACAAAATCAAAAGAAATATATGAAAAAAAAAGGTTGTTTGAAAATATAAAAAATAATATTAAGGACTTCTTTAAATATATTAAGGTCTTTGAAGGATGATACAGGAAGGCTAATATCTGATGGTTATGGGATGGCTAAGTTCAATTTTTCCTACAGTTTTACAAATGATGATTTAAGCAATATTCCTCATCTTCAACAGATGCTAGATGAAAACAAGTTTAAACAAGGTAATAACACTAATTTTGAACTTGTTGAGAAAAAACCTGGAAAGTTTTAAATAATGAAAAACCTCTGGGCCAGATCATATTTACCAAAGGGCTTTAAAAGAGATTAAGGATTGGACATGTGAACTGCTTGCTACTATGTTTTTAAGCCCTTGAAGAGTGGGCAGGTGTCAGAAGATTGGAAGTTGGCTAATGTTACTCCTCTTTGCAAGGAAGGTGATAAAAATTGTCCCAGTAATTATAGGTCTACTTACATCAGTGATGGGAAAAGTTTTTGAAATTCTGGTAAAAGATGTGCGACAGATGTTTTTATGGGGCAGTCATTTTTGGGTTTGACTTAACACAAGTTATAAATTTAACTTATTTAATTTCAGGTTATGCAGTTCTGGGTTGGCTCACACACCACCAACTCAATGAAATTTACACTTCTTAACATTTTAATTACATCTTCTGTCAGTTTAATTAAATCTTCAATTAAATTAATTCCTATTACTTCTAATTCTTCAGACATTATACATTGTTAATTAAGTATGTTGTTAGATTAGATGAGAGCTAGCATTAATGACTTACAAGGAGTTTGTCCAACATATATTCTCAATACTCTGCACGACTGCCGTGGTAGGAAGCTGGATTTTCAGTGGGAACTTACAGTAGCTGTAAATTGGAATTTCAACTGAGTGATTGTTCAAAGTTACAACTGTTTATATACATAAACTGGGATAATCAAGACTTCTCACTAAGTTCCTCACAAAAATATTTACACATGATACTTCTAATCTTATTAGTAATACAAACTATTATAATAAAAACAATAATTGGCTTTCTCTCCCATCAAAAGATTTATTACTTGTTATTCATTTGTCTAGATCCACAAAGGTATCTGATCAATTAACTTCTAAAGCATATAAATACAAGCTGTTAAGTGTCTTAGACTTTTCACATATAGTCTTCCACTTGTTACTTCCTATTAATAGTTCCAATACTTGTTTTTTTATAGTTACTTCTTCTAGCCATGGTGTCTAATATCATAAGCATTTGTTGCTTTCTCTAATGGAATTGAATCTGTTTGACACTGATGAAAAACCACTAATTTCTATTTCTCATGCTACAGTCTGGAATGCATTTCTAATTAACTCGTGTACTTCAATTCAAGTTTTTCATAACCTTATTTGGAACTTCCATTGACTTATTAGCATTAGACATTTTTCTTGGCCTTATTTTGGCAACTGATCTTCCTCTAAGTTTTATAATATATTAACTGTTTATGTTTCTCCAATCTCTACTGAAAATTCTATTTTCCAAAACTTCGAATATTTGCAATTTACCAATTACTGCAGATGCTTTGCAAAACATTTAGTAAAGTTTAAAATTTTGTTGGACAGTCAGCATGGTTTCATTTGAAGATAATCTTGTCTTACTGATCTTTTCATGTTCTCTGATGAGATTAGTGCTTGTCTATATGAGGGTACAGGTGTAGGTTTGGTGTATCCAGATTTTCAGACAGTTTTTGAAAAGATGCCACATAAAAGGCTTGTTAAAAATGTTATCTCTATAGGTGTGGGGGGATAGAAAACTGGCTAGGTGGAAGAAAGCAGGGAGTTGTTATAAACGGAGTTCAATCAAACTGGATTAATGTCATAAGTGGGGTACTTTAGGGCTCTGTATTAGGACTGTTGCTCTTTTTGATTTATATCAATGACATAGATGAAAGAATAGTCAATAGATTATTTAGATTTGTTGGTATTAAAATGTTTGGTGTTGCTGGTTGTGAGGGGGATCCTGCTGCTACTTCACAAAAGGATTTGAATTATTTAGCGAGTTGGGCAAATAAATGGCAGATGGCTTTTAATTATAATAAATGGAAGGTAGTGCATGTGTGACATCACGATTTGAGTAATGAGCATAATTTTGATAGGAATAACCTTAGCAGTGTAATGGAAGAAAAAGATCTTAGTGTTCTGGTTGATCAGTTTCTTAAGTCATCCAAGAAATGTGCTGTTGCTTGTGGCAGGGCAAATAGTATTTTAGGTTGTATCTACCGAAATACAAGTCTAAAGAGGTTATAATGCCATTTTATAGGTCCTTGGTTAGTCCATATTTGGAGTACTGTGTTCCTTACTTTAGAAAGGATACTGAATTGTTTGTTGTCTTTCAATATTCTAATATCAAACAGTTGTATGTACTAACCCTGATGAAGCAGCAAAGGCAAAATGTTGGTTAAAATAAAAAGTTATTTTATAACTGTCTGGAGAATAAAGGTTGGTTTTTTCTAAACTTTTTTTCAGACTGAATTGTTGGAAAGACTTCAAAGGAGGGCAACTTGGATGATACCTGGGCAGAAATGTTGTCATACAAGAATAGGTTAAGATCTCTCAAATTAGAGAATTGAGGGAAAAACACAACAATTGTACCTTTCACAAATACATTGTTTATTCACGACCATGGTTTCTTCAGTAAAGGCATCATCAGGTACTGGTGAAACCATCGTCATGAATAAATGATGTATTTGTGAAAAGTATAATTGTCTTGTTTTTCCTCAATTCTGTAATTATGGAATTTCACCAAGTACTGACGATTTCGAGTATCAAATATATCTCTCAAATTGTTTTCTCTTGAAAAAGGAATAGTAAGCAAGAGAGGATCTGACTGAGGTGTTCAAGATTGTTAAGAGAACTGATAATGTTGATGCATCATCTTTTTTTTCATATGTAATGGTGAGAATGGTAAAATCAGGGGATATAAATCTTGGCAGAATAGGAGTCATCTTCAGTTAAGACAGTTTTAGTTTTCTAACAGGATGGTTTGGCCTTTAGAATAGCTTGCCTTTAGATTGGTAGATGCAGTTAACATAAGGGTGTTTAAGGGAAGGTTTGATAAATATTTTAATGATAAGGATTGGCTCTGAATGTTTTATTTTTATTTTAGAGTTTGGTATAATGGATAGAACAGCCTAGATAGTCCAACAAGTCTCTTGTTGTCCTTAAATTATATGTATGCAAATGTGTGATAAACTCAAAGATTAATGCACTTCACAAAACACAAAAGAAATGTGACAAAGATGAATGTTAGACTACATTAAATAGAGATAAACATATGTGGCTAATGATGATTTCCCTACAGTAGAGGGTATGAGGCATGTTAGAAAACACACACACACTGCTCATATGAGGTTACCAAAACTGCACCTGGTGAATGTTAAACCAAGATAAAATGAACGAAATAAAGAACAAAATTCCTAATTCTTGGCATTATGCCAAATTGATTAGCAGTTACATATTCATAAGAAAAGTTATTTGGTTTCTATAATGACAAGTTATTAGTCAGTAATGATACACACACACACACATCAGATAAAAATAATGAGTCTAATAGCACGAGAAAACTTCAACAGATCTATGTATCTTTATCCTGAAACAAGTTTGCTTTAAGACATTATTTAAGCATGCTTATTTTTTCATGCACTGGTATAGTACAACTTATCTTTGCCATCACATGAATTTAATAATACTCCACAATTTGCCCTTCACTTTAAAATCATAAACTACTTCAGTGTAATCCCATACAGAGCTCTTTTTGCATTTTAAATCACGTGTTATAATCAGTGAACACGCGGATTATGGCTAAATCACTCTTCATAACAATGGCAGCAATTATCATCTAAGTCAGAATGTGTACACTGAAAATGACAGGAAAATGCATGTTTTATTTCCGAATGCTGTTAAGGCAGCACCTGCTGAACTGTTACATATAATTTATATATACTTCATAGATATAAAGTATTAGAAACATTTAGACAATACTAGGTTGTGGATAAAATTCTTTCCTTTCTGCTCAACCAAATACAATATGAGTAAACATCTAGAATTATCATATGATCTTATGTTAAAATATTGTAATTGCCTTTGACTCAGTCTGCAATTTTCCTTTTTACAAAATTTCATATTTATTTTTATATTTACTTATATGTCCTATAGTTTCCAGTATTCTAAAAACTGTTTAAATAAATATATCATCTATCCTGTGGCTAAAGGACTTAGCCAGATATTTGGTGCCTGTTTGAAAACTTGTAAAAATTGAACCAAGAACACTCTATCTGTTCTTTTCATAACAACTTAACAGAAGCAAAAAGATTTAAGATTTTATCCATAATCACACTTAAATTCTTTGATTTTTTAACAACATCAGTACTTCCTTCACCTTATTAGTACACACAAAATCCTTTAAAAATTTCTATAACTCACGTATATAACATTACATTTTTCATAAATGAAAGACAATCTTCACATTCTGACCAAGTTACTAGGACTGTCAAGGTCATTTTCATAAAAAAAAATTTTCAATAGAATCAACTCTTTTCTTGATGCTAATAGTAAATATGGAAATACTTTTCTCCAAGAATTCGGTTCTTCCCAGCATCTTAATTCTAGAAACATCAGCAAATTTGGAAATACTTATGTTCATAAAGTTCCCTAAACGACTGGCATAAATAATGAGCAACAAAAACTTCAAAACAGACCCTATCAAATATTTCTCCCATTCAGAAAAATACCATTTATCACCACTCTTTACTTTCTATCACTGATGAATTTTCTAACCATTTTCATTACTTCTGTATCTCTTGTAAAGCATTTTATCAAAGATTTCATGAATTTACCTTTCTCAGTAACATTTTAAAATCTCTTACAGGCCTATTATTATCCTTAATGTTCCTTTTTTTTAGAGTTAGCATAATTGTAAAAACTTTTTGGCAAAACTATGTTTTTAGCCACCAGACTTTCATAACTTCCATCACCATTAATGACTTATTTTTGTTTATTTTGATAAATTTCATCATCCTTTTGGAATTAGCTGCCTTCAAGGGTGTTGAAGGCAGAAAATTTAATTGAGTTCAAGAAAGGACTGGATAAATACATGAGTAGTAAGGGGTGGTTATAGTTGGGAGCTGGAAGGGACATACTTGATGGGCTAATAAGCTCCCTTTTGTAGCTTTAAAATTTTAAGAATTTATGTCATGAAGAAACACTGCACCATCTCTAGTTTGATAATACAGATCCAAACTTTTTTGTGTGTTTAGCAGTGAAAACAATAGGACAAGGGGTCATAAATTCAAATTTTGGCAGCATAGGAGTCATCTGCAGTTTAGACAGTATTATTTTTCAAACATGGTGGTTGGATTTTGGAATGAGCTGCCTTCAAGGGTGGTGGAGTTCAAGAAAAGATTAGATGAATACATGAGTAATAAGAGGTGGTTATAGTTGGGAGCTGAAAGGGATATCTTTGATGAGCTAATAAGTTCCTTTTTGTCCCTTTAAAATTTTATAAATTATAATTTATACATTGAAATTAATTCCATAGATTTACCACCCTATTGGTTTGTTTGTAATAAAGCACAAAGCTACACAAGGGGCAATCTGTGCCCTGCCCATCACGGGTATCGAAACCCGGATTCTAGTGTTGTAAGTCCGCAGACATACTACTGTGCCACCTTATTGGAAAAGTGAAACCACCTCAACTGACAATATGCTCAACCTTTCAAACTTAGCATTCATAGACTGCTTAATTTTAAGTTAAGCTTAGGTTTTTGAACACTTTGGCATTTAGATATTTTATTTTTAGAATTATACTTTATGACATTGTTTACTATTGTGTAAAAAAGTTCTTCAGTACTAATATTAAATAAACATTATTGTAATTTTTATATTATTTTTTATAAATAACTTGTCTTATTTTCTGAGGCTGAACAGTAATTAAATAAACTTTAATAAATTTTGTAGAAATAAACACATGGACAATAAGTAGCCATTTGGTCATTTAAAGATGTCTTTTAGGAAATACTTAAACTACCCTTTATTTTTCGGGAAATTATAAATTCCCCTCTTAAACTCCTGTAAAGTGTATCCTCCACTATTGCCAATAGTGACTCATCCAATTATTCAATCACCGTTAGTGCTAGTGCACTCTCGTCCTACTGTTTTTAGAATATAGAACAGAGAAACCAGAATCCTGCTTTATCCTATCAATCCTAGAGATAATCTTGTAAACTTCCTTAATACTACTTTTTAATCTTCTTTACTCAAAACAAAACAATCAATATAAACCCTTTCCACACGTTAATTATTTGTATACGTTTATGAAAATAGCGTGATCTAAGTTATTTTTGAGAACTGACCACTTATAATTTGGATGTATACGTAACAATGATGCAACTAATTATAAATTACGCATTACTAGTACTTTTCAGTAGTCGTCGTATTATCTCCTTGAGCTTACTCAGTTTCGTTGCATTTCTTGCAGTTTACGTTTTAACATAATTAACTTAAGTCCCTACACTATAGTCCAACACATTTCCAAAACTTTTTCTCAGTTAGCCAGACTTGTTTGGTATATCCCAGAAAATATTCTTATGAAAACAAATATAACAGTAAAAAATAGACAGTTCAATACAACTTACAAGTGTTCAATTATAACCACGTGCGATAAACCATAGTTTCAAACGACTGGGCACTTGGTGTATTCCAGATGACAGTTTGAGGCTAGATTTTTTGTAGATATTCGATGTAGAAAAATTATTAAATCGCATTAATAATTTAAAAATCTTTTGTTTTCGTGCTTCATTACGCTTTCATGAAACTTATATTAGTTAAAGACGTACGTATATACTAAGAGCCAGAAATGTAATTTTTAGAATAGCTATAAATACTACGATTTCAACAATATTTAATTTTGTGTACTTACCATTATATTGTTGTAAGCTATATTTTCAATGCTTGAATTTGATTGTTTGCTAGAGGGAGGTGTTAACATGATGATGATGCTAATTTTGGAAAGTTTATAAAAGTAGTCAATGATTGTCTAGAATGTTCTTGCCCCCCAGTAGCACAGCGGTATGTCTGTGGACTTACAACGCTAGAATCTGGGTTTCGATACCCGTGGTGGGCAGAGCACAGATAATCCATTGTATAGTTTAACTTCAAAGAATGTTCTTGAATGTTAATGATCAAGTGATTGCGCGAAATATCTAGAAGTAAGAATATTATCTAGACAACAGTAAGTGAAGCATTTTTAGTTCAGTTTGTTTCAGTGACTGGGATTTCAGTGAAGTATTTAATGAGAAATTAGTGAAGTAATTAGATCAATCGATTTGCCGTGAAACTGTACAGGTAAGTTTAATTATGCGTTATTCGTAGTACCATCAGCAAGAAGTTTCCGTTGAAATAGTATTTGTAAACTTAAACCTTCAATTTGGGTCAAAGTGAACATAACCTCTAGGAAAATTATAAAAAAATTAATTAATTTGTTATCATTATGTGAACTGGAATTCGCATTGTTTTCACTAAATAGTCTAAAAGAACCCGCCGAACGATAGAAGTGATGGAACACAATGCAAAAATAAATAGTTGTTACGTCTCCGTTCGTTAGTTAATTTTCGCAAATTCGTTCCGACGAAACTTTAGCGCCACAAGTCCTTTCTTAAATAAAA